AAAAAAAGAATAATTATGTATTATTTCATAAAAATGTGATGTTTTTTCTTATAAAATACTACTTTAAAATTTGTTAATGTAATGATAAAAAATGTCAATATATTGTAAAATGTAAGTTTTAATAGAAATAAAAAATTCTACTAAAATTGAAAATAATAGGGGCGCCTGGGTGGCTCAGTTGGTTAAGCATCTGTCTTCAGCCTCAGGTCAAGATCCTGGAGTCAAGGGATCTAGCCCCTAGGCAGGCTCCCTGCTCAGCAGGGAGTCTGCTTTTCCCTCTCTTCTGCAGGTCCCCCTGCTCATGCTCTCTCTCTCCCTCTCTCTCACTCACTCTCTCTCAAATAAATAAATTTTTAAAAATCTAAAAATAAAACTGAAAATAATAAAGTTCAATTACTTTCCTTATAGGCACATATTATATTGACTTATACTTAAATGATAACAGGATTTTATGTTGAGAGGGACCTTCCTTTGGAGATTACCTTGATACAAAACCCCTTTATTTTACAGAAGAGGAAATCAAGTCCCAAATGTGGGGGCTGACAAACTATGGCCCATGAACCAAATCTGCTTATCACTTCTTTCGGTAAGTAAAGTTTTATGAGAACACAGCCATAATCAGTTTTTTACATATTGCCTATGGCTATTTTCACACTACATGAAGCAATTTAAATAATTGCTTCAGAGGCTGTACAGCTCCCAAAACCTAAGAAATTTACTATCTGTACATCTTAAAAACATTAAAAAAAAATGTTTCTAACCCCTGCCACAAAAGGACTAAATGAATTTCCTAAAGTCATAAAACTGAATTGTGGCATAGACTGGAGTAAAAGCCAAACTTCTGACACCCATGCTTTTTCTATGACACCACATAATGAGAAATCTTACAGAATCTAATGTGTACACAACTGTTACTTTTAACCCACTACTTTCTCTTACCAAGATCAGATAACATTTAAAATATAAATATATAGATTCTTAGAATTAAAAAGATAATGCAATTAAAAATACCATTAAACAATTATGATTCACTTGGAAATAAAGGCAATTTCTGACTACTTTTAAAAAGTCTTAAAATGTATATTTCAGAGTGTATTTCATGAAATATTCTTTTAAGAACCGGTAGGTATATTTTAGGTAAAAGAGCTATTGACTCAGACTCAAGCTATAAAGTATATATGGGGTTACTTCTGGGGTCTAAAATTCATAATTCATAAACCTGGGGTTTCAATTTAATGATCTATAAAATATTTCATGCTCTAACAGTTTACGAACAGAGAGAAAATAAAACCAAAAACAAAAAAGGGAGAAAGGTGAGATAAAGGAATGGGCCATAATGTAAAATGCCCACAAGATGGCACCAGATGAATGTTTACAGTCATTCAATCCACAGCTGAAACACAGATTATAAATACTAAATCTCTTGTTACCTTGGAATGGGCTATTGAGAGCGTATCCACCCAGACTCTCCATCCTCCCCATTCATATTTTATTGCATGATACAACAGAATCCGGAAGATATTGTAGACCATCTCGGTAATCTTCTGTTCCTCAGAATTTTTAGGATTGATATAGCCAAGAGAAAACATCCAATCCTGCCACACTGAACACTGCAATAAGCATCTAGTGGGAAAAAAACTCATTAAAAACACCTAGTTTATATTAGAATTTACTATTTTGAAATTTAGATAAAGAGTGAAAATATGATCTGACCTAGATAAAGCAAGATGCACAGTCATTCTGCACATTCTATATTCTATACCTGGAATGATTTCCTCCCATTTTTCTACCTGGAAAAATCCAAATTATCATTTCAAATTGGTTTCCTAACTCTCCCAGTCAGATGTAGCTACTGTTTCTTTACTCCCTCATCATATGTACCACTCACAATGCACTTAATACATAATACATTAATCATTGTTTTGTTATCTTCCCCACTAAATTGTACCAAGACTATATACTAAGACAACCTGCACAGCACAGTACTTTATACATACCACTCAATAAATATCTGTGAAATTAAAGATTCAGGAAGCAACCATAGCCTTAGATTGTATCCCATGTCTTAGCTAACCAGCTCAAAAATGCCATGACAACAATCAGTTACAGACAAAAACTGAGAAAAGCATAGATGAATATGAGCAAATACAACATGATTACAATAGACGGGTGTCACCAAAAGGAATGGTGAATTTTAAATAAGGGTTTGTGAATATGTATATTCACAGAAACAATTAAAATATAATATCCACATAATCAAATAAAAACATAAAAACAAATACAAATATAATGAATGTAGATTGTATCAAAGAAACATAAAATGCCTTTTCTCATAATTATAATTATTTAGCAATACGGGAAAGATGTGACAAATGTTTTGAAAGAGATTGAAGATAAAGGAGAGGAAATAATTATGGAATAAAGTTTTATTATGGTACTGAAACTGCTTACCTTCTATTTTCACGGCTGTTACTGAAAAGTTTTATCATGTCAGATAAAAATAAACGACGAACTTCCATCAGTTCTGCACTTGGTGTAGAATTTTTTAACAGAGTTGCCACCACCTTAAGAATCACTGTAAATGAACAAAAAAAAAAGAGATCAAGATTTATAACTGCATCATATCTTCCACTCAAAAAGTTTTACTCATTTTCAACTTAGCCTTATGGTAGGCGAGTTAAAAGTACCATAAACTATGGTAATCACCATAATGATTGAGATGGTTATGAAAAGTTTTGATTTAGTTTTCCATGTTACCACATTACTACTACATTACAATAAAGAATTGCTGTTCGGCTAGTATCAAAAAAATAAGAAATAACAAGTGTTGGTGAGGGATGTGGAGAAAAGGGAAGTCTCATGCACTGTTGGTGAGAATGTAACTTGGTGCAGCCACTGTGGAAAATAGTATGAAGGGTCCTCAAAAAATTTAAAATAGAATTATTGTTATGATCCAATAATTCCACTACTGGGTACTGACCCAAAGAAGATGAAAATACTGATTCTAAATGATACATGTACCTCTATGTTCACTACATTATTTATAATAGCCAAGATAGTGAACCAACCTAAGTGTCCACTGGCAGATAAATAAAGATGTAGTATATATACACAATAGAATATTACTCAGTCATAAAAAAGAATGAAATCTTGCCTTTTGCAACAACATGGATGGACCTAGAGGGTACTATGCTAAGTGAAAAAAGTCAAATACCATATGATTTCACTTACATGTGGAATCTAAAAAACAAAACAAATAAATGTAAACAGACTCATAAATACAGAGAACAAACAGGTGGCTGTCAGAGGAGACGGGGGTAGGAAGATGGGCAAATGAGATGGGTGAAGGGAATTAAGAGATGCATACTTCCAGTTACAAATTAAAAAGTCACAGGGATGAAAAGTACAGCATAGGGAATATAAAAAGAATTGCTGTTTGCTCACTTGGATTCTGAATTTTCACTGTAGAATCTGGCTCTGGATGTGGTTTGTGTACAACTTGAGTACATACTTGCTCTGTCAAGATCTGAAAGATGAAGAATTTGAATTTCATTTAGAAAATAATTTAAATCATAATTTCAAAATATACAAAGAATCTGCAAAAACTGTCAATTCTGTCAAATTCAAATGAAATCCTCTTCTAAAGGGTCTTCCAGTCATTCTACATCTTCTAAACTCTTTAACTCTTTAGTTTCCAAATTTTATTTATTATGGATAAAGACAAAAAGAACCAATATCTTTAGTAGGAAGGATTAATTAGGAAATCCAAAAATTTATTCTGTTTGAAATACCTTCACAGTGTACATCCTTAATATACTTACATTATGAAGTGTAAACATGACTCTTTATGTCATCATTAATAAAATACACCTCTGAAAATAAGTAAATAAAAAAAAATGTCTGAGCCTGGGTCCTAACTTCAAAATGAAGTGTGACAAGGGGAAAATCTTTATTAAATATGTGGCTCATTGTCATTTACCCATGAATTTTTCTTTAAACTTTTTCCAATAACAAAAATGACAAAAAGTTGACCAAATGAAAAACAGAATTCTAAAACGTTTTCTAATTTTTCAGTCTCTATGAGTGCTGGATTCTTACACATCTTTTTTACTGTTATATTCCTAGCCATCAGCACAGTGCCTGACACAGTGCCAGTACTCAAACATTTGTGAAATTTAAGAATGGATAACTGAATTATATATAAATAATGGATACTATGACTGTTCACTGTGTATACCTCTATTCTCGCATATATAAAATATCCAGTGAGACTATACTTAATAAAGATGTAATTTTATACTAGTGATTTAATTTCCTGTTTAACTTAACATACTAAGTTCTGAATGAAACTTTTAGTTCAACCTAAAGTAAGGTACAAAATCTGTGCATAAACCATAAAAGTTAGTTGAGAGCCTAGTTGTACATAGCTATTTTGTAAAAGTTGGGGATGGAGAAAGTAATCATGAGCCAGAGATGATCCCATCTGATTAGAAAAAGACCACGACATCCACCAGCAGTGGCATTTTTCTGACCTTTCTGCTCAGACTTGAGAAAAAGGAAGAAAAAGAAGATAGAAAACTGACTTATTATATATTAGGAATGTTTATCAAAAAGGTATTGACTTGAAATAAAAGCTAACCTATTACTGAAATGATAAATATAGGGCATAAGACCTTTACTTTCACTAAACACTTTGTTGTTAATACTAAACAGTGCCTCAGAATTTTCTGAACAGAATACTACAGACATGCACTACTCATCACATTGAGCTGACAGAAATTTCTTTGAAAACCCAAAGAATCTGAAAATGCTAAAGGACATTCAGTGGTTGCCATATGCTTACAAGACATTTTCCCACCAATCTGCCCAATAAAGCACTGGTGTGGACCTACAGCTGAGTGGACAAAATCCCTAAAATTCTGGTTACCAATAGATGCAAAATAACTGCAGACAAGCTTGGAAAAAGACTAGGCCATACTTTCCCATGATAGACAATAGTCAAAACTTTCTCACCCCAAAAAGAAGAAATCTCATTATACAGAAAACAAAACTAATCTCAAAGAATCTACAATTTTATATTGTCCTTCTTAAGTCCTATTTGAACTTCTAAAGATAAGGGTAATAATTGCCTTGCCTATCTACTAAAACTGCTAGGAAGATAAATAAGTAAGGCTCTATATGTGAAAAGTGTTTTGAATACTATCAATATGAGCCTTTTTAAAATTACCAATACATATTTAGAAACTCAATCCAGCATGTATTTATTAAGAGCCATTTATGTGTCCACACTCTGCTACATGTTTGGAATGAGAAACATAGTTGCTAGGTGGAACTATATTTCATGAATCAATTAATTAATACTCTAGAGACAGGCATAAATACATGATCCTGCTAAATAATAAAACATGGTAGACTGTCATTAAGAACCTATGTGAGTTTTTAAAAAGGAGAGGGAAATAATGAGATATAAATAAGGAGAGGTGAATATAGATGTAAACATTTTAACGAAAGGATATGATTCAAGGTGGGCCATGGAGGTTTGACTGGTATTGATTAGAGATATGCATAGGAAGTAACCCCAGCCCCTACAAAAACAAAATAGTACAAAAGGTACCAGCCACATATGGACATGAAATCCAAAATGTACTTAACCCTCAGAGCACATCTCAATTCACACTAGCCACGCTTTAAGTGTTCCATAGCCATCTTTTTATCTTTTATACAATGTTGTCTGATATATACTGCCAAAAGGTCTAACTCACTTTGTCCTTTAATGTTGTTGCTTATCCTATAATTGGCATTATCACATGTAGAATTTTAAAGATCACAGTAACATAGAACTTATCTTAACTGGCCTTCTAAAAACTTTGCAAAAACCTCATATTCTAAAATACCATTATCAAAACCATAGGTTTGACATAGTTCTTTATTATCTCTGTACTTGATTTTATATTTTTCTACAGTTGTAATGATATTTATTTTGACACGTTGTTTGGGGTTAAGGTAACTTCCCCAAACCAAAACAGAAAATGAAAGTAAAAAGAGCTTTCAAACTGAAGATTATCAACCAAATGCTTCTTGCCAGGGGTGCAAGCCCTGGTTGATGCTCATAAGGGGAATCAAACTCACAATGCAGGTTTTGAGGCTGAGTTTTCTTTTTATAGTTAAATTTCACTTACTATGTTAATGAGAATTAAATTCAAAACTATCACATGAGTGTTAATTTTCTGCAACCAGATGCCACCATCCAAAGCAGTGCAATATTTTAACTTTGGTGGTCTAGAATTAATCATCCACCATTCTGTCTGATAACATAATTTGGTTTGTTAGTAGTATTAAAGCTTATGTTGAACACCCATTCTACTTTTTTATGGGATCAACAGTGCTATCCAATCATATCATAACCATCTTTCTTTTTTGACTTTTTGTATACTTATGTTAATTTTTCTTTTTAGAGTATCATAATTAATTCAGCCCATCTTTCCAATTAACCATGATTATTTTTTTAAGTGTCTGACTCTTTATTATTATGTTAATCATCATACATTACATCATTAGTTTTTGATGTAGTGTTCCATGATTCATTGTTTGCGTAAAACACCCAGTGCAGTACATGCCCTCTTTAATACCCATCACCAGGCTAACCCATCCTCCCACCCCCCACCCCCCAGAACCGTCAGTTTGTTTCTCAGACTATGGACTCTGAGAAACCATGATTATTATTCTACTTTAAAAGTACATATTATTGCCAAATTGGTCAGAGACCTTGCAAGTTAGTTCCTTCATCTGCCTCATCCAACATCCAGTATCAGGAGATCCAAACTTATGCAGACTTTCTCCAACTAAGACATGGAATCAGCAACAGCTTGGCTTTGTAGAATATCATTAGAGACTAAAATCTGGATACTCAGAAAGTGCTAATGAGTATAGATGGTAGGTAAAAATGCTGCTGCACTTGCTATTGACTAATAGAAATACATATATATGTATATACACACAGGACATTTTATTTAAGGTTAAGGGTACATAATGTTTTCAAATTCAACATATTATATTGTTATGCTACATTCTTATTTTAATATAACGTTTCACTGACTACAAAGACTTTCTGCTCTAATTGGTCAAAACAAGCAGAGGGTCAAAAATGTAGGCAAAAAATGATTTAAAAACACATGTATAGGAATCATTAACCAGAGGGGTTAGTCTAAGAAAACCAATACAGAAACCCAGATAGAGCTCTAATCTGATACTGTAGCAAGGTTTTTATTCAGAGGACTTTAATGTCCACTGAAGGTAGATATTGACATTTTTTGCCTTATGCACAGATACTATGAAATCTGCCTATTTTATGACTATTTATTAGTGGTGAGACATAGAGTAAATTGTTCAACCTGTGATTCTCAGTTTGTTTAAAAAGGCAACAACAACAACAACAACAAAGTTTCAGAGGGTTGTTGTAAGGATCGAGATAATGTATGTATTTACACCAAAGTGACTGTCACAGGAAATACGCCCCCCAAAATAGTTACTATTATTAGGGAAATATAATATCAGTATCAAGATGCTTTGCATACGGTAGGCCTTTCTATTCAGTTCTGCTTATTCAGTTCTGTAGGACAAATACTGGAGCAATATTAAAAAACTACTCTTACTGACAACAGCTATGTTCTGAAGGATAAGTTTATAAATCATGTAATTAGAGGAATGACAGACTGAAAGTTGCAATATTAAGCTTAGAAATGAGAGTAGCCAAAAGAGTTTTTTAATTTATCTAAAAGGCAGCCATTCTTAAATTTACTGATGATAATATGAAACAGAAAAAAGATGAAATAAAACAGCTAGTGAAGTAATGTGACAGATCTGGGGTCAAAGTATTATTCTGGATACCATCTGTTTTTGTAAACAGATACAATACAGTTTTATTGGACAGCACCCCCATCTGGTTCATGCTGTCTATAGCTGCTTCTGAGCCACAGCTGCAGAGCTGAGTAGTTTCAGAGACACCACCCAGCCTGCTGCTACAGACTGAAGGTTTGTGTCCCCACAAATTCCTATGTTGAAATCTAATCTTCGGTGTGATGGTTAGGAGATGTGGGGCCTTTTAGGTGGTGTGTAGGGCCACAGAGCCCTCAGGAAAGAAACCTAAGAACTCCCTTAACGCTTCTGCCGTGTGAGGACATAGTGAAAAGACGGTTGATGAACCGTTAAGTGAGGCCTCACCAGACACCAAATCTGCCACTGCCTTGATCCTGTACTTGCTAGCATCGAGAACTGAGATGGAAATTTCTGTTGTTTATAAGCCACCCAGTGTATAGTATTGTTTCAGCCCAAACTAAGACTACACCAAAGCCTAAAATATCTATTACTTGGCCCTTTACCAGAAAATTTTGCCCTCCCCAGCTATAATGAACATTTGGCTTTCTGCATTTCATAGAAAATACTGAGCCCAAGCTATATGACCATCTGTTAGAAATGGTGAGAAAAGGATTTCTGAATTGAAATGATGAGATCTAAAGCTTCTTCCCGATAGCGCCTTTACAAATAATTTTTACCTACAATTTACCCCACTATCAACTCTAGGTTACTGTTGGTAATTGCACAGGAGACAGACAGAAAGAATCAGCGGAGGGCGAGGAGAAAACTAATATATAATACATAACAGGTGTGATTCATGTGAGAAAAACTCTGCACAAGTCAATCAGCCAACCCATACTCAAAGAAAAGTCCTTGGACCAACACAAAAAGATTGGCAAATAAATGTACATGGATATGTTTTAAAATAAAATTTTAAAATGTAAGTATGTGTTCATTTAAAAAAAAAAGATTACTGGCTTTTTGATTAATTGACCAACTACTGATCCCAGTTACACAGGTTTCCCACTAGATACATTTTAAATTGTCATCATACATTTTTTTATTTTTACCTCATAAAGTGTGTTGTATGTGGTGACAGTCACAGTGTTTGTATGCAACATCAGCCTTTCTCCAAGAAGAGTGAAAAGACTATGAGTATGCATAATTTCCACTTTTCTCCTGGAGAAAAAGGGGGAAAAAAACAAAATACTATGAAATACATTGGATTTTCTAATCACATGACTTTGGGATAAGAAAGTACAATCTATTAAGCAGATACAGAATCATAGAGGTAATTATTTTTACTAACTTCCATCTACAAAAAAAATAACAGTTTATACCACAGCTATCTTCTAAAGTTACAACAATACTATTTAAACACTTCTCAAATAAAATGTGAAATATACAAGTTATCAATTACATAAATGTTGACAGCTATTATTTTCAAATTTCTTATTAACTAGGAGTTATTTTTATTAGGTTAAAACTACTGGTTTCGGGGCGCCTGGGTGGCTCAGTCGTTAAGCGTCTGCCTTCGGCTCAGGTCATGATCCCAGGATCCTGGGATCGAGCCCCGCATCGGGCTCCCTGCTCCGTGGGAAGCCTGCTTCTCCCTCTCCCACTCCCCCTGCTTGTGTTCCCTCTCTCGCTGTGTCTCTCTCTGTCAAATATATAAATAAAATCTTTAAAAAACAAAACAAAACAAAACAAAAACTACTGGTTTCCCCTAACAGAGACCACAGAATTTTTAAGTCCTTTATATCTAAATTTAAAGTCTATAAAATAATCTATGATAAACTTTAATATCAAGAATTTAAAATTAGGGCGCTTGGGTGGCTCAGTTGGTTAAGCGACTGCCTTCGGCTCAGGTCATGATCCTGGAGTCCCTGGATCGAGTCCTGCATCGGGCTCCCTGCTCGGCAGGGAGTCTGCTTCTCCCTCTGACCCTCCCCCCTCTCATGTGCTCTCTCTCATTCTCTCTCTCTCTCAAATAAATAAATAAAATCTTTAAAAAAAAAAAAGAATTTAAAATTATGGCTAAAAGTGAGTACTCCAGTTTGATGTTGGGATTACACAGCAAAATAATTCAACAGAAGTAAAGGGGACTCATTATTGCTTGAATTTGTGGTCTGCCATTGGATTTAAAGCCAAACAAAGAAAAAACACCAAAAAACTTTCTTAGTTACTTACTATTGGCTCATTTAACTGTCTCCCCCCACCCACCACCCCCACCAACTCCATAAATAGGATAGAAGGCTCTACTCAAGGCTTTCTGCAACACTTGGCTCTAGCTCAGGGAATTGCTATATGCCTCTCATTTGTGTCACTGTCTTAGAATTCAAGATCTGATCTTCTTGGCTCTCAACCCAAGATACTTCATTTATCACTTTGATTTTCTATTGTTCCCTGTTCAGATCTATGATTTAAACTGGCGAGTATTCACCAATTCTTATTCTTTTCTTCCTGAGTCCACAACTATACTATTAATTCCAGCCTCTGTTACAGCCAGGTGTGACCATTTAACTGAGTTTTAGCCAGTGGAATGTGAGCAGGAAAGTCATGAACCATTTTCAGGCCAGGTCAGTAGAATAGCACTCATGCATGTCTTTCATGCTCTTTCCCCAAGGCAGAAACACAGGAGCCACATGATGAAAACAGGGAGGCACAAGATGGTAGCAGTAGCCTGGGTCTCTAAATCACAGCTTGCAAGAAAATTGCCTGCTGAGGAACACCCATTTAGATTTTCAGTGAACAAGAAAGAAACTACTAGTTCAATAAGTAAAATTTCATTGTTTGTCTGTTAGAGCAGCCATTGTTACCTTAATTAATACAGAAATCAAGTAATGAACCATTTACATGGATACCGCTCACCTGGAAATCCTCTTTTTTTTTTTTTTAAATCCCATTTTTTACTTTTGAGAGAGAGAGAATGACAGAGAGAGAGAATGAGAGGGGTGAGGGTCAGAGGGAGAAGCAGACTCCCCGCCAAGCAGGGAGCCCGACACAGAACTCGATCCCGGGACTCCAGGATCATGACCCGAGCCGAAGGCAGCTGCCCAACCAACTGAGCCACCCAGGCGCCCCGGAAATCCTCTTTTCTAACATCAGCCTCCAAGCTCCACATTGCACAACAAAAGACACAGGGCAGCTGTCTCACCTCACCTAATCCTCCTCAGTCCAGGGAGGGAAACAGCAAAATAACCTAAACCCAAAGCTTAGGTTTCTTGTGGCTGTGTTTGCAAAACACTTAATAAATAAGATTTAAAAAGTCAACTGGTCATTAGAAAATAAACCAGGACTAATGGATACTATGGGATTATAGAGGGGAAGGCTTTAAGTCTTTTCCAATTCAAGTTACATCCAAGGCAGGGAGGACTGACTTTTATTTGCTCCTAATCAAGAGAGAAAAAAAAAAAGCCAAAGTGTATCCCTTAATATATCTCTCTGATACATGAAGCTGGTAAAAGTTATCCAAATTAGGCTATGTAGAATAGCCTAATTAGGAATTTACAGTAATCTCTTACCTGCACCAGTACAGTTTCAACTACTAAGGAAATTCATGCCCTCCTGATTACCTCCCACGATGTAAATGTTTACAGAACAGCTATAGTCTAGGCTTGGCGGGGGGAGGGGGATGTGGAGAATGCTCTGCATATACCAGAGAAGAGATGGGTCAGCTTCCTCCTGCAGTTTGCTTTAAAACAATGTTTACCAATAAATTTTGCTGCACAGCAGTCAAGAGATAGCCAAAAATGCCATCCATTATCTCAGGCAGAGTGTGGCTGTGCTATGAATCACATGATTTTGTTTCCCACAGAATCCCTAATGAAAGACCCAACTCTATGCATTCAGCTCTGAAAGGCTTCAAAACGGCATATATGAGAGAAACTGACATCTTGACCCTACTTAACTTTAAGACCTAAACAGACTTCAGGCTTTTAGTTCCAATTTGCGCACCTTTGAATTTTATAGGATTTCTGTCCACTTGAATTAAGAATGCAATCTTATTTAAAAAAGGGTAACCTTTCAATCTCATACACGTTACACATTTATTAGCTTACTAAACATTCCAATGAAAACAGACTCCAATTTTCTTCTTCACAAAACAACCCAGTTTTTCTTCTGGATGGTCAAAAAATATTTCTTATAACAAACTCAGACCATATGTTGGAAGAAGAAAAAGGTAAAAGAGACCCATAATTCCATAACCCAGAGAAAATCATTATAAAGTAACAGTTTGTGTTCTTCTGGATGAATTACTATGCATATAAATATAGATGACAAATATACATGGTATCAATACAATGAAAATAATTCTACATAGGTAATTTATAGCTTTTTTCCTGTAAATCAACAATATATCCTATCTTGAATATTCAATCATTAAATATAATAAGTATGCAGCATAATATATCCATTCACTACTGTTGGCATTTATGCTATTTCCAATTTTTTTCTACCATCAACAAAATTTTGCCCTTATAGGTAAATCTTTGAGTACATCCATTACTATTTCCTTAGAATAAATTCTTTTGCTGAAATGATGGGTGTTAAAAGCTTTTATATTTAATTTTATGAGACTTGGCAATTTATGATGACCTCCAAACATATGTACATTCATACTTCCACCATCAAAACGTAAACACACTTTACCAGCAGCTTCACTCACCAATGTAAACATAAAATAAAATAAAACATATTTTATAAGTATATAATTTAGTAATTTCTTAAAAACTTTATAAAGTGATGTAATCATCAATTTCCAGTTTTGAATATTTTCATTACCCTGAAAAGTTCCCTTGTGCCTATTTGTAGTCACTCCCCACTCCCATCACTACTCCAATGTAATCACTAATCTGCATTCTGGATATTTCATATAAATATAATCATTTAATATGTAGTCTTCTGCATCAGGCCTCTTTCATTCACCATAGTGATTTTTAGGACTCATTAATGTCATAGTATGCATCAGTAGTTTGTTTCCTTTTACTTGTGCACTAGTATTTCATTGTATGGATATATGATACTTTATCCATTCACTGACTGATGGAATTTTGGATTATTTCCAGTTTTGAACTATCATGGATAATGGTATTAAGAACGTCCATGCACAATTATAGGTGTGAACATATGGTGTCATTTCTCTTGAGTAGATACCCAAGCATGGAAATGCTAGGGTATGTGGTAAGTGTTACATTTTTTAAGAAATTAGAAAACCCTTATGGAACATGGCTGGAGTATTTTACATTCCTATCAGCAATGCATGGGAATTCAGGAAGTTGTTATATGTTCTGGTTGTATGTTATATGTTGTGGTTTTATTCAAATCAAACCATTTTCTATTTTTCTTTGTGAGTCTTTTTTGACCTAGGGGTTCTTAGAAATGGTCTACTTTCCAAATGTCGGGCAATTTATCAAATCTCTTTCTGCTGTTGATTTTTAATTTAATTTTGTTGTGGTCAAAGAAAATATTTTGTTTGATCTCAATTCTTTTAAATTTATTGAAACTTGTCTTATGTTTTATAGTCCAGCCCATAATATATTTTATACTTGAGAGCCATTTGCTAACTTTAGGTGGACTGTTCTATGAATGTCAATAAATTGTTCAATTATGATCTTGAACAGGGAGGGTGTAAACAGACTTTCATTAATTATTATTTATTGAAAGGGAATGCTTCTAATATTTTACTAAATAGGACTATGGTAAGTTTCCAGGAGATACACCCTATCAGGTTAAAGAAATCATCTGTTCCTGGTTTCCTAAGAATTCTTATGATGAATGGGTACTGAATTTTACTCAAATTTTTTGTATCCATTAGTGTAATTGCATAGCTATTCTTTAATGTGTTAATAAAGAGATCATAATTGAAGGATATTCTGATATTAAACTATCCTTACAGTCAGCATAAAATAAAACCTAGGGGGAAAAAAACCTTTCTTTTTTTAATATAAATATTTATGGCTAGGGGTGCCACAGCGGCCCAGTCAGTTAAGCATCCAACTCTTGATTTCAGCTCAGGTCATGATCTCAAGGTTTTGAGATGGAGCCCTGCATCAGGCTCCACACTCAGCAGAGAGTCTGCTTGAGATTCTCTCTCCCTCTCTCCCTGCTCCTCCCCTTGCTTGTGCGTGTGCTCTCTTTAAAAACAATAAAAAATAAAATAAAAAAATAAAAAATAA